AGAATGGCAAAGCGACCGGACCAGACGACATACCAGCCGAAGTCTGGAAACTGCTCGGGCGCCAAGGCGCCTTAGTCCTCGCCAGCCTGTTCAATAGCATCATCAGAGACGGGACCGTCCCAGCAGCCTGGTCAACCAGCATAACAGTGCCCATCTGGAAAGGGAAAGGCGATGTGGCTGAATGCTCCAACTACCGCCCGATCCGACTCCTAAGCCACACCATGAAGGTTTTCGAACGGATCATCGACGCCAGGATGCGAGAAATCGTCAACTTAATGCCCAACCAATGTGGCTTCATCAGGGGGCGTGGACGACGGACGCCATCCATGCTGCCCGCTTGCTTTTGGAGAAGCACCGAGAGAAGTCCAAGACCATCCACATGGCCTTCCTCGACTTGGAAAAGGCGTTTGACCGTGTCCCACACGACCTCATCTGGCACTCCCTGCGATCACATGGAGTTCCTGAAGCCTACGTCAACTGGACAAAGCTCCTCTACCGACAAGTCACCAGCGTGGTCAGAAGCCCAGTGGGAACATCGTCGCCCTTTAACATCAATGTGGGCGTCCACCAAGGTTCGGCACTCTCCCCGCTGCTCTTCATCCTTTGCATGGACACTGTGACGGCGGATCTCCAGTCACCCCATCCCTGGACACTTCTCTACGCCGACGATGTCTTCCTGGCTGATGAATCGCGAATAGAACTGCAATATCAAACACAGCAGTGGAAGACTCGCCTAGCTGACTTCGGCCTGAGGCTTAACATCAACAAGACCGAATACTTAGAGGCTGGCCCCCAGACCGACGGCACGATCAGCGTCGATGGAGAAGATCTGGCGAAAGTACCTCATTTCAAATACCTCGGATCGATGATCAGCAATGACGGCGATATCCTACTAGATGTACGAGCCAGGATCAACGCAGCGTGGATGAAATGGCGCCAAGTCACCGGCGTCCTGTGTGACCGAAGAATGCCCAATCGCCTCAAGTCAAAGATCTACAAGAGTGTAGTGCGCCCTGTCGCCCTCTATGGATCCGAGTGCTGGCCAGCCACCGCAAAGCACGAACAAGCCCTCCACACGATGGAAATGCGGATGCTGCGATGGTGCCTAGGCCTGACACGATGGGACCACGTCATGAACACCGACGTTAGAAAGAGCATGGGAGTCGCGCCAATCACAGATAAGATGCATGAAGCAAGGTTGCGGTCGTACGGACATGTGGTACGGAGCGATGAGAACTCAGTGGTGAGAACAGCACTGCGGCTCAGCCCCCAAGGACGTCGACCTAGAGGCAGACCAAAGCGGAGATGGATGGACCGAATCAAGGACGATGTGAAGAAGATCGAAGTCGATCTGACCGACGCCCTTGACCAACCCAAGTGGAGACGACTTTGCAGAAAAGCGGACCCTGCAACCAAGCGGGAAAAACGCTAGGAAAGAAGTTGTTGAGCACGTTATCAGAAATGACACAACAGCCCCGTCGTCTACACAAGCCAGACTGCGCACCTTTTCTGGCCGTGCTCCTAGGCCCAATGGTGAGGTAGACTATGAAACATGGCGCACACAAGTGGACCTTCTTGTCAGAGATTGCTCCCTTAGTGATGTGCAAAAGGTTAGGAAAATACTTGAAAGTTTGCTAAGTCCAGCAGCCGATGTTGTTAAGTTGCTTGGTGTGAGTTCACCACCCAGGGCTTATATCAGGCAGCTCGATTCCGCTTTCAGTGTTGTAGAGGACAGAGAAGAGTTATTTGCAACCTTTCTCAGCTCCAATCAGAATAGCGGAGAAAAGCCCTCAGCATATTTGAACAGACTCCATAGCCTCCTCACTCGAGCTATTTCTAGAGGGGGAGTCTCTGTCGAAACTTTAAGCGAACACCTACTCAGACAGTTTATTAGAGGCTGCTGGGACCAGAGTCTCATTATAGCTCTCCAACTAGAGAACAAAAAGAACAGTCCACCAACATTCCCAGATCTACTCCTTATGTTGAGGACCGAGGAAGGTCGTAGATCGGCAAAGCTAGACAGGATGAAGAAACATCTGGGTGTTACAAAAGCAGCTGTACATGCCCACTCCATTTTTTATGTACCCTCCTATGATGATGAGCCCGTTCTGACACAGACTGCAAAGCAGAGCGAAGCGTCTAAGCTTGAGAGGAGAATGGATGAGCTTTCAAAGCAGGTAGAGAAACTGAGTCAAAGGTCCAAGAATTCTCCTTTTGACAGTGAGCTTAGTGCAGTGTTAAAACAGAGACAAGAAGAAACTGTTAAACTTGAAAGCAAAATAGATGAGTTGTCTAAACAACTCAGGGAGCTCACTCAGAACCAAAAATGTCCTAAAGAGAATAATAGTGGCAAAGACTTCCTTACGGCAAGAAATAGCAGTGCAAGGAGGCCAGTTAAGGTTCCCTCTATGCCAAAAGCATGGTTCTGCTTTAAATGTGAAGATAACCACATTGCCACTCGATGCCCAAATGAACCCAACCAGGCACTAGTCCGCCAGAAGAATGCTGAGTTAAAGGAAAAGCAAGGAAGGTTCCAAGCCCAACAGGTTACCGAGCCTTTTGCTTTAAACTTGTAGCGGCTCTTGCTGTGGGACGTCCAGGAGCTGAGACCAGCATTAGTCCCGCCTCAAGTGACCAAAGAATTGATGTTCAGAGCAAAATAAAGACCCAGACAATGGTTCAAGATTTCAGTTCCCAATCCCGCTTGCCACCCGGTCTGATAGGTCCTCGTTGTTCAGCTTCTGTTTTGGTAGAGGGTGTGCAATGCAACTCTATCATGGATAGTGATTCACAAGTCACTACAATCTCCGAATCATTTCACAAGGATAAGCTGGCACATCTCCCCATTCAGCCTATTCAAGCATTGCTTGAGATTGAGGGTGCAGGTGGACAGCACGTTCCCTATCTTGGTTATGTTGAGACCCACATCACTTTTCCTCACAACATTACAGGCAAAGAGGAAGAGTTGGTTGTTTTGGCTCTTGTTGTGCCTGAGTGCCATTTTAACAGCAGAATACCAGTTTTGATTGGTACCAATGCACTGTTAAGACTCCATGATAAGTTATCTGAACGTGACGGTCCAGATTTCCTTCACAGACTGTGTTCCAGCACTTGGCTAAACAAATGGATGATTGCCACATACGCCCAGTGAGGTTACACGGGAAAGTACCAGTCACCATCCCTGCCAACCACAAGTGCTGTTTAATGGGCGATGTTAGGCTGAGAAAGAACACTCCTAACCTAAGTTTCGTCCTTGAACCAAATGAACATGACAAGTTACCTGGTGGTTTATTTCTTGAAACTGCTTTGATAGACATCCCTTACGAAGCTAAGAGTAAGGTTCCAGTCGTCTTGCAGAACTTGAGTGGGCACAGTATTGTATTGCAACCAGGAAGTACAGTTGCCCAGGTATGTGTAGCCCAGCACATTTCACCCCTGGTGCCTGCTTCAAATGCTTCTTCTCATGACAAATTTGATGGAGAGAAGCTTAAGTTTAATCTTGATGAGTCACCCATCTCTGAAGAAGGGAAAGAGCGCGTCACCACCAAGCTCAAGTCTATTTCAGAAGTGTTTGCGGTTGATGATCTGTCTTATGGTCATACCACTGTGGTAAAACACCACATTCGGCTGAACGATGACACGCCGTTTAAGGAATGGTCAAGGCCCATCCATCCAAGTGACAGAGAAGCTGTCAAGCAACACCTCAAAGAACTGTTTAATGCAGGGGTTATTAGGGAGTCAGAGAGCCCCTACGCATCTCCAATAGTAGTTGTGCGTAAAAAGGACAATTCAATCAGGTTGTGCGTTGATTATTGAACGCACGGACCATTAGGGATGCTTATGCCCTCCCAAACATTGAGGAGACCTTCACGGCCCTTAGTGGTGCCAAGTGGTTCTCGGTCATGGACCTCAAATCAGGCTATTATCAGGTTGAGATGGCCGAGGAAGATAAAGCTAAAACTGCTTTTGTCTGTCCTCTTGGGTTTTACGAGTTTAATCGCCTGCCTCAGGGTGTTACAAATGCCCCAAGTACGTTTCAATGACTGATGGAGAAGTGTGTTGGGGATTTGAACTTGAGTGAGGTACTTGTGTTTTTGGATGATCTGATTGTGTTTTCAGACACCCTGGAGGAACATGAGGTGTGACTCATGAGGGTGCTGAACCGGTTGAGGGACTTTGGGTTGAAGCTGTCCCCAGAAAAATGTCATTTCTTTAGGCCCTCGGTGAAGTACCTTGGCCATGTGGTTGATGCCCAAGGAGTTCACACAGATCCTTATAAGATCTCAGCTTTGAAAACATGGCCTCGTCCTACAAACAAGAGAGAGTTAAAATGTTTCCTAGGCTTTGCCGGTTATTACCGGAGATTCATTGATGGATACTCAAAGATTGCAAAGCCTTTAAATAGTCTCACGACTGGATACTACTCGCCCAAAAAGAGGGGTAAAGTGTATCTTGAAGAACATTTCAGACAACCATCAAATATTAACTTACCTTTTGGAGATACATTGGGTGAATGTGCAGTAGTAGCAGCAAGCAGGTAACTCACCTGCTTGCTGCTACTTATTAATGTACATTAATAAGAATAGACATCTGACTATTTTACAGGATAGACGATATAAACATATTTAAAATTAAAGGAATTTGAAATGTACATTGTGCCTGGGTTTAGAGTGTCTGGAAGAGAGTCCTGTCTCAGTCAAATATAGATGATATGAGAGAGCGGGTGTGTGTGTGTGTTTAGGGCCTGGATGGCTTGGGGATAGAAGCTCCTCTTGAGTCTCTCTGTCCTTGTATATTCAGTAATTCAGCATTTTTGTATTTTTTTACACAAAGCAAAATGACGCATGTAATCAGTTTATTAAATTTTACAAAGCAGTTTAAAAAGCAGACAGTTTGCTATTTATTTGGTTGAAGGACAACAGAATGAAATAAAATAGTGCACAAATGAATTTGAGTTTTCAGATAATTTTTAATGTGACCACTGCTCTTCTACTCTTCAGGTGTCTTTACAGCACCCATTGCAGGTGTTTATTACTTTACCCTCTTCTATCATGCTGAAGGAAGTCATATACAACGCCTGTTTCTCCATAAAAACAGTGAAGTGATGGTGATGACAAATGATCACGTGACACACAGCGATGTAGCTGATAATGGAGGCAATGCGGTGTTCCGGCAGCTGCAGCAAGGGCACAAAGTGTACGTGCGCATGGGTGCAAACTCACACGTCTGGGCATCCGAAAGCCAAACAACCTTCAGTGGTTTTTTGGTCACTCAAATGTGAGGAACAGCAAACATACATACAAGATAACAATAACAGGGTGAAGTTAAGGCATTTTTCATAGACTCACCTATGTAAAATGCACTAAAACAATGAAAACCTTTTCCACATGTCAAAACATGCAAAGTCATTCAATCACTTCTGCTCTGTGATCAGCAGCCAATATTGTAAAAGGTATTTGTGTAAATGAAGATTGTGAGGAGACTCAGTAAGTATGATAATGACTGTCTTTGTCACAGTGTGGGTGAAAAAAGACAGAGCAGCAGCTGTGCTTGATGTTGGGATCAAAGCACATGTGCTGTGTAAAGATATGAGATGGTATCTTTAGGGAATAATTCACGCTCTCTATGTGTGTTTCATCTGTTTCTGTTTTTATTTGTGTTTGTTATAATTTATTTTCAGGTTTCCTAGTCAACAGCATGATAAAGAGATCTCAGAAATACTATTACCAATTATTGGATTTGCTGTACTGTAAAGTCTTGAGACATCCCTCATTTCTTTGTTTCTTTATTTTGCTTCCTGTCTTGTATTTTTAATAGTGATCTTAAACAATAGTTTAAAAAAATCCAGATGTTTGGCTATTTTTAAACTCATTTTCAGTCCAATCTTTGTACCTGACCATTTTCAGAAGAATGTGTTTTTGTTTGTTTGTTTGTTTGTTTGTTTGTTTAAGCCACTTTGTCACGGTCAACAGGACCCAAATGCAGGACTCGTACATGGAATGAGCGGAAGCTTTTATTGCTGGGAAGACTTTCCATATAAAGTAAACTCACAAAAACAAACCAAAACCTTGAACATGGAAACTACAGACTAAACTGGAAACTAGAAAATAAAACAACGCAAACTGGGAAAGCAAACCAGGAACTGAGAACTAGAACTAAGACAGGACCACAAAGGGAGTAAACACAGTACGGTGAAGGTACAGCGCAATAATGGACAGACAAAAACACAGGGTTTAAATACACAAGCAGGACTACGAGAGGATGGGGAACAGGTAGGAACACAGCTGGGACAAGTCAGACCTAACAAAGCAAGGGAAAGCAAGACTTGACGCACTGCACATAGGACAAGGGCTAGGGAGACTTAGGCTGTATCCCAATTTAGTGTCACGATTAGTTAATAAAGTTAGCTATTAGTTAGTTAGTTAATATTCTGTAAAGAATTACTTGTACTGTTTTATAACAACTAAACAACAAACAGAACATTTTTCTCTAAGTAGAAGAAAAATGGTCTCTGTTCAAGCTGTTTCACCACCAGTATAACCCACTGGAATCATGTCTAGTAGATAGTTTACATTCTAAGTGTTTGTTTTGGCTGCTAAAGTACTGTGCTTGCTCTTTGGTAAGGAAAACAGTTTGTTGATATAACTTAGAGTTCATGGTCACTGATCATGATGAAAGACTGACACAGATAGAAACTGAATTTCTGCAGAAGAGAGATAATATATATGTCTGTAGGGTGCCAAGTTTTACCCAGTTGTTGTAGCACATAATTTAGTTTTGCATAGACATATTATTCACTCTTGACAACATGGCAATCCAAATCCTATTTATGCAATAAGTGACTTGATTCTTGTCCACAGAAATCCATATGCTTTAATATGATGTAACACTATAGATCAACTAACCTCAGAATATATAAAGCATATAAACAATTACAGCAATATGATGCAAGAAATACAGCAGTGCTACTAATCCAAAATACAAACAGCGTCAGCTTCATACACCTGAAAAAAACATGCACTTTTTTTTTAGGTCCGTTCTGCTGCTGATACATACTTCAGGTTTCTGAATATTAAACTTGTTGCTTCCTTTCATAGTGTGTAACTTGAAGGCCCTGAGTACTTTCTCCCACACTGAAAACACTGGAATGATACAATTATTTGAACATTACCTAATAAGACTGACTCAGGACAGACAATTAGTTATAACTTTCCTAGCAGTCCTTCACAAAAAGGGAACAGTCTGTCTATTCTCTCCATCTGTCAGCTGCTGCAGGCTCTTCCTCTTCCTCACACACTGCTGAGTTTGTCCTGGTGGATCATCAGCCTCACAGATGATGTGCAGCAGTGGGTCCCTCAGTCTGTCCTCACTCTGGACACTTGCAGTTGTCACAAATGGAAATCAAATGTGTGATAAGCTGCAGGATTCAAACACAAGTGTAACTTATAAACACATGCTCATACTTTTATTCCACAATCAGAGAGAAAGAAACAGAGAGAGAGTGCAGGACAGACAGACAGGTGAAAGTCTCAGGTGTATACACTGCTACAAAACAGCACAAAAGGAGGATTTAGTGTTTGTGTTATTACGAGTGATAAACAAGAAGAGTTCCCAGATGGTATAGTGGACACATGTGTGACTCCTGTGATTAAAGCATCTTTCTTTCAGCTTAACGAGTGAACCGTCAGCTCGTTCAAACACACGTTAAAGTCCATTTGGCTCGACACCACCGAACAGAGGCAGCAATATACCCACATAGCAAGCTGGTCTGGCCTGGATCTGGTATCAAGACGGCACTGCTGGCTGACTTCTGGCATGATAAGATGTATGTCATCCAGATATGGGCCAGGCCTGGCATACATGGCACTGTCTATGTGATGGCATGCCACATCTGGCTCGATTGTGGTTTGGTTTATGTGGGCCAGGCCCATAGAAAACAGCTCTGGCCGGGATCCGGCATCAAGCTGGCACTTCTGACTGACCGGTGTTATGGCAGGGTGTATGTCAACCAGATGTGGGCCAGGTCTGGCAATGATGCACTATTTATGTTCCTATTTTAGTTAGAAATTCCAAATGCCATGTTGCAATACTATACTGCTATGGTAGCCAACGTTCAAACGCCTGTCTCAAGATGGCGCTGGAGTGATGGCAGCCTTTCCAAGTAGCTCTGCAACACCGCACCTTTTTCTTAACTTTAACTTTTTTAGACTAGGCTTTTCAAACTTTATTTCACCTTCCTCTACTTATACCTCTTAGATATAGCGATACAAGATGGATAATGCACTTTTTAAAACTTCTGGAACCAGCTCCTTCATCTATTCGAGAGCGGAGCTGCTGGCACTAAAAACAAAGGGACAGATCAGCATGCGACACAACATCCCGGCTGAAATAAAGAGGAGCTACAGAGGCTGCAAAGCTGGAGCGAGGAGAGCGGATCACCGGAGGCGATTCAAACCATCAATCCCGACAGTGATCATGGGCAACGTGAACTCGTTACAGAATAAGATTGATGAACTGTGCGCTCTGAACAACCACAGACTATACCGTGAGTGCAGCTTGTTTATCTTCACGGAGACGTGGCTAACCGAGCTAACGCCGCAGGCTAACGTAGACCTATGCGGTTTCACATCCGTGAGAGCCGCAGGCCAGCGGAAAAAGCAGAGGTGGGGGACTCATTGTCTACGTTAACAACAGATACTGTAACCCTGGACATGTCTCCGTTAAAGTTTCGGTATGCCGTCCGGACCTGGAGCTGCTAGCTGTTAGCTTGCGGCCATAATATCTACCTCGGGAGTTCAGGCATGTGATCTGTGTATGTATTTACATCCCTCCGAGGGCCGACGCAACAACTGCCTGTGAGAAAATACACACAGTCACAGCAAGACTTCAGATACAAAACCCCGAGGCTTTCATTATTATATCTGGAGACTTTAATCATGCCACACTGGACTCTACTCTGGCTGCTTTTCACCAGTTTGTGAATTGTCCCACAAGGAGCAACAGGACAATTGACCTACTGTATGCTAATGTGAGAGATGCATACAGAGCCACCCCCCACTAAGGAAGTTAGACCACAACCTGGTTTACCTACAGCGACAATACACACCCCTCGTCCAAAGGCAGCCTGTCACAACGCGCTCCATCCGGAGATGGACCCCAGAAAAGGAGGATGCTCTGAGAGACTGCTATGACACCACAGACTGGGATGTGCTCCTGAGCCCACATGGTGAGGACATAGAGGGGGCGACACACTGTCTTACAGACTACCTCAACTTTTGTGTGGACACAGTCGCCCCTGCTAAGACGGTACGGTGTTATCCTAATAACAAACCGTGGGTAACACAGGAAGTCAAAGCTGTCCTCAACATGAAGAAGAAGGCTTTCAGGAGCAAAGTGAAGGAGGCGATGAAAGCAGCACAGCAGGAGGTGAAACACTGCCTGAGGGAAGCAAAGGACACCTACAGGAGGAAGGTGGAGCAGAAGTTGGAGAGGAACAATATGAGGGAGGTCTGTAATGGTGTGAAAACCATCACAGGCCACAACACCAAGAAAAGCACAGTGGGGGGGGGGGGGGGGGGGGGGGGGGGGACTGTGGAGAAGGCAAACGAACTCAACAACTTCTTCAACAGGTTTGACCAGCCCACAACCCCCCCACCCTCACCCTTACTACAGAGTCCTCTCCCCACTCTCCTACCTCCCTCGCTTCCCCCCCTTCCTGACACTATGACACCCCCCTCCTCCAATCCCTCTCTCAGCAGCAAGACATCTCCCCCCCTCCCCTCCTCCCAAACATCTCCCAGTGTCACAGTGGATCAGGTCAGGAGACAACTGAGGAAGCTTTGCCCCAGAAAGGCAGCAGGCCCAGACAAGGTGTGTCCTAGGATGCTAAAGGCATGTGCTGCTGAACTTGGGGAGCCGCTACAACGAGTCTTCAACCTCAGTCTGCGACTGGGGAGAGTGCCCGCCCTATGGAAGACATCCTGCATCGTCCCGGTCCCCAAAAGGAACCGGCCCAATGAGCTGAATGACTTCCGACCGGTGGCACTGACGTCACATCTTATGAAGACTCTAGAGCGGCTCTTCCTCAACCTCCTCCGACCACAGGTACAACATGCCCAGGACCCACTACAGTTTGCATAGAGCCCACTCACACCTGGATGGGGGAAAAGGCACGGTCAGGATCCTGTTTCTTGACTTTTCCAGTGCCTTTAATACCATCCGGCCCTGTATGCTTCAGGAAAAACTGAACAGGATGGAGGTGGATCCCTGCCTGGTGGCTTG